TCTCCACCCCCTCCCCCCCAATATAAACCGATGCTAAAAAACTCCAGCTTCAGCTAAAAAATAGAGAATTGTCCCAGAGCTGGTAAAGGCGTAGTCCCGCTTTTGTTAAAAAAATAAAAAAAGTTTGTAAAATAAAAGTTTACATTGAAGCCTGCAGAGCATTGTAACTGCAATCCATGCATCATTGGTTCGGTGCACAGATTTCTGTAGACTTTCCCACCATGCTTCACAGTACTGGTGATCCTTTAACTGCTTCCTGATCGCCCTATAGTAGAAGTACTGCTACGGGGCGGCAGGGATGTGCAAAATCACATATATATACGCGATTTTGCATTTCCTGGTAGCTTGCGTGCGCGCTCCCTACCTGCGCCGCCAGGGGTATATTTACCACAAGGCAAACAAGGCATTTGCCTAGGGCGGCATTTTTTAGGGGGGCAGCACCGCCCCCTGGAAGAAGGGACATATGCAGCATGGGGACCAGGTAGGATCCGTGAGAGGCTGCGGGCTGCTTGATGGTGTATGCAGAGCCCAACTGTCTTTCTCGGGAATGTTCAGAGCTGTGAAGGTGAGTGTCTCTCTGTCGCCACTGGGGGGGTGGATGTTAGTGGAAGGCTCTCTCGGGTGTGTGTGTGGTGGGGGGGGATGGGGTGTTGTTGGTCACTGTCGGCCTCTCTGTCTTGGGGGGTCTGGTGTTGGTCAGTGTCAGGCTCTCTCTCTGCCGGGGGGGGCGTCCAATTTTTGTGTTGCTTGGGGCAGCACAAAACCTAAATACTCCACCCCAAAACCCCTTCACACAGTACACAGGAACAGAGCTGATGCTGTCAATCACAGGCTGTGTGCTGGAGCTCCCTCCATTGTCACCTTTTATTTTCTTGGTGTCAAGAATACCAGAAGTGACTCCTGCTGAGGAATGGGGCAGCAGACAGAAATGACACTTTGTGCTCTGGATGGAGATAAATACGCACTATAGAGGGGGTCACTTTGAAGGTGAGGGGGTTGGGGGATGCGACCATGTTTCAGGTTTAAACCCTGAATATGAGTGTAACATAAAACACGGTCTCGAAAGCATAATTCCCCTTTTACAAAAAAAAAAAAGTACCCATTCTGGTTACAGTAGAGTTAATGGTAAGTCATTTTTATTCAGAGTAAGAGAGGGCTACAACCCCTGCCAGTTTTTTTTTTTTTGGCCACCTGTGTCCCATTGGGGTGCAATGCAAAGCTTCGGATGCCGTGGTGTAAAGCACACCGCCACTGGACTCTAGAGAAGTGGAGACGTGTTTCTCTGGAGTGACCAATCACACTTCTCTGTCTGGCAATCCGATGGACGTGTCTGGATTTGGCAGCTGCCAGGAGAACGGTACTTGTCTGACTGCATTGTGCCAAGTGTAGTTTGGTGGAGGGGGATTATGGTGTAGGGTTGTTTTTTCAGGGGTTGGGCTTGGCCCCCTAGTTCCAGTGAAAGGAACTTTTAAGGCGACATTTTGGACAATTTCATGCTCCCAACTTTGTGGGAAGAGTTTGGCGGGATGGCCCCTTCCTGTTCCAACATGACTGCGCACCAGTGCACAAAGCAAGGTCCATAAAGACATTGAGGAGCCAGTTTGGGGTGGAGGAACTTGACTGTCCTGCACAGAGTCCTGACCTCAACCCCATAGAACACCTTTGGGATGAATTAGAGCGGAGACTGTGAGCCAGGCCTCCTCCCCCGACATCAGTGCCTGACCTGACAAATGTGCTTCTGGAAGAATGGTCCAACCTTCCCATAGACACCCTCCTAAACCTTGTGGACGGCCTTCCCAGAAGAGGTGAAGCTGTTATAGCTGCAAAGGGCGGGGCCAACTCAATATTGAACCCTACGGGCTAAGACTGGGGGGCCATTAAAGTTCATGTGTGTGGAAAGGGCGGGGCCAACTCAATATTGAACCCTACGGACTAAGACTGGGGGGCCATTAAAGGTCATGTGCGTGGAAAGGCCAGCCAACTCAATATTGAACCCTACGGACTAAGACTGGGGGGCCATTAAAGGTCATGTGCGTGGAAAGGCCAGCGGCCCAATACAACATAGAGTGCATAAGGTGTTTATGGGGAACGGATTCTGTATACTTTCATGCACCAACTTCTATTTACTCAGATTCCTTTAAACGAAAGATAGAGTTGTGAAAGGAGCCATGTACGGCCCTGCCAAATTCGAAGATACACAGTGCGGAGCCGGGAGAAGGACCCCGCAGCTCAATAAATGAGTCACTTCAGTGGAAGGTAGGTGAGACATGAGAGGTCTAACAATGAGGTTCCCAACATTATTGAGACCAGGGCTTGGTAAATTCTTTCCAAATCTTCTTGTCCCAAACGGTGAGAAAAAAACATTTATTCAAAAAATAAAAGTATGGCAATGCAAAAGTGCTTGGAGGCTCTGGAAGTCATTGTAGGGGTGCGGGTTTGAAGACTCTGTAGTAGACTTGCTGGCCTTCTAGGAGACAAAGTTTCTGGAGGGAGCTGGAATGGTCTGGGGTTCTCTCCAGGAGGTCGGGGGCTTTGCAGGAGCACTGTAGGAGACTGGCCACTGTATGTGGGCTGGAGGCTCTACGGTAAACTACGGGACAGTATGGAGGTCTGAAGGCTCTGCAGCAAGCTAGGGGACACTATGGAGGTCTGGAGGCTCTGTGGCAAGCTGGGGCCACTATGGAGGTCTGGGGGCACTGCGGCAAGTTAGGGGACACTATGGAGACCCTGAGGCTCTGCAGCAAGCTAAGGGACACTATAGACATCTGGAGGTTCTGTGGTAAACTAAAGGTCACTACGGAGGGCTGGAGGCTCTGCAGCAAGCTACGAGACACTATGTAGGTCTGGAGGCTCTACGGTAAGCTACGGTACAGTATGGAGGTCTGAAGGCTCTGCAGCAAGCTAACGGACACTATGGAGGTTCTGTCAAAAGCCAGAGGATACTACAGAGGTCTGGAGACTCTGCGGCAATCTAGGAGACACTGGAAATCTGGAGCCTCTGCAGCAGGCCAAGGGACACTATGGAGATCTAGAGCCTCTGCAGCAAGCTAGAGGACATTATGGAAATATGGAGCCTCTGCAGCAGGCTAGGGGACACTATGGAGGTCTGGAGGCTCTGCGGCAAGCTAGGGGACACTATGGAGGTCTGGAGGCTCTGTTGCAAGCTAGGGAACACTATGGAGGTCTGGAGGCTCTTCAGCAGGCTAAGGGACACTATAGAGGTCTGCAGGCTCTGCTGCAAGCTAGGGGACATCATGGAGATCCAGAGGCTCTGCAGCAAGCTAGGGGACACTATAGAGGTCTGGAGGCTCTGCTGCAAGCTAGTAGACACTATGAAGATCTGGAGCCTTTGCAGCAAGCTAAGGGACACTATGGAGTTCTAGAGGCTCTGCAGCAAGCTAGGGGACACCATGGAGGACTGGAGGTGGCTTTGCTGCAAGCTAGGGGACACCATGGAGGACTGGAGGTGGCTTTGCTGCAAGCTAGGGGACACCATGGTGGTCTGGAGGTGGCTTTGCTGCAAGCTAGGGGACTCCATGGTGGTCTGGAGGTGGCTTTGCTGCAAGCTAGGGACACCATGGAGGACTGGAGGTGGCTTTGCTGCAAGCTAGGGGACACCATGGAGGACTGGAGGTGGCTTTGCTGCAAGCTAGGGGACACCATGGTGGTCTGGAGGTGGCTTTGCTGCAAGCTAGGGGACTCCATGGTGGGTCTGGAGGCTCTGCTGCAAGCTAGAAACTGGGTGGCAGGTTGAGGAGCACAGCTGGGCAGTTTAGTAGGTTGGGTGACACTGTGGGAGGTTGGGACAGAATGGGGGGACTGGAGACTCTGCAGCAAGATAGGGGGCTGGATGGCACTGTGGAGGACGGAGGGCACTGCTGGAAGTGCGAACACTATGGGGGGAGAGGCTAGAGGCTCTTCTGCAAGATAGGGGACACTGTAGGAGGTTGGGGGCACACAGTGGGGGGATGAAGGCTCATGGATTGGTGGTTGAGAACCCCTTAAAGAGAACCAGTCACTGCAAAATGCTGTCTGTCCCATAAGTGCCCCCCCCCCCTGCAGTGCAATAGTAATAAAGTTAAGTGAAAAGGGAACAAAGAAATGACAGTTACACCTGGGCACTTCAACAGACAGTTGGGGGTGACTCTGGGTGCTGGTTGCACTACATGTACCAGGTCGCTGTGCACACTGGAGTGGGAGCGATGATTCCAGGGCCTTCATGAACTGATGACCTGTAGAGCGCCCCCTATGGATAATATCACATTGTTGCCCTTCCACCAGCAGGCACCATGTGGAGGTTGGGCATGTTTGGTATCTATGTTCTCAGCACAGCCGGCTGGGTTCTGTTCCCCATCACTCTGGGTCTAGTATGGAGCCTGTGGTCACTACAATGCCTTGTATTCTATGTTGTACTGGAAATACACGAGTGATCATACACCCTCCACCCTTCCAGGGCCTCTCCTTCCGCCCACCATGTCATTGGTTTTGGGAGCTCCAAGTACATTTCCAGCATGAAAAAGAATTTGCAGTCGGTAATAGGTGACGTCACTAGCTCTGGCCATGTGCAAGGCATGCTGGGACTTGTAGTCCCGCCCCCAGTGCCGCAGAGCCCCTCCAATCCGCAGCCCGCTCCAGGCTCTCCCCAGCCTCGCCATATAAGGAGAGGGAGGGCGTGACCGGCGCCTTCGCACGATCGCCCATTCTCCCCGCCCCCCTCGATGCGCATTCCGCTGCTGACGTCGAGCTTGGTGGGCGTCGCTTTTCCCGCGAGAACTGCTCTCCGAGCCCGATCCTCCAATCCCCGGCTGCCGTTCTCCGTCACGTGTCTTCCGAGGTGGGGCGGAAGTGTATTGTGGGGAGTGTGGTTCCGGTGCGTAGGAGCTGGCTGGGGACCCCGGAGAGGACTACAACTCCCAGCGTTACCTCCTTTCCCGCGTTTCCGTCTGCTCCGCCAGAGAGATCCCTCCCCCCTCCGGGAGAACCGACTACACACCCCCATCATGAGGGACAAACAGAAGAGGCGGAGGGAGCGCACGTGGGCCGAGGCCGCCAAGATGGTACCAAATACGGGGGAGGGGGACCGTACCACATACTGCGGGGGAGGGGGGGCATGCATGGAACGGTGTCCGGAGGACGGGGGTGATGTGTGTATGTAGTGCATTGTGGGGGAGGGGTCGTATATATAGTGCATTGTGGGGGAGGGGTTGTGTATATATAGTGCATTGTGGGGGAGGGGTCGTGTATATATAGTGCATTGTGGGGGGAGGGGGTTGTGTATATATAGTGCATTGTGGGGGAGGGGTCGTATATATAGTGCATTGTGGGGGAGGGGTTGTGTATATATAGTGCATTGTGGGGGAGGGGTCGTGTATATAGTGCATTGTGGGGGAGGGGTTGTGTATATAGTGCATTGTGGGGGAGGGGGTGTGTATATAGTGCATTGTGGGGAGGGGTTGTGTATATATAGTGCATTGTGGGGGAGGGGTTGTGTATATATAGTGCATTGTGGGGGGGGGGTTGTGTATATAGTGCATTGTGGGGGGGAGGGGTTGTGTATATATAGTGCATTGTGGGGGAGGGGGGTTGTGTATATAGTGCATTGTGGGGGGAGGGGGTTGTGTATATAGTGCATTGTGGGGGAGGGGGTTGTGTATATAGTGCATTGTGGGGGAGGGGGTCGTGTATATAGTGCATTGTGGGGGAGGGGGGGGGGTCGTGTATATATAGTGCATTGTGGGGGAGGGGTCGTGTATATATAGTGCATTGTGGGGGAGGGGGTTGTGTATATATAGTGCATTGTGGGGGAGGGGTCGTATATATAGTGCATTGTGGGGGAGGGGTCGTGTATATATAGTGCATTGGGGGGGAGGGGTCGTGTATATATAGTGCATTGTGGGGGAGGGGTCGTGTATATATAGTGCATTGTGGGGGAGGGGGTTGTGTATATAGTGCATTGTGGGGGAGGGGTCGTATATATAGTGCATTGTGGGGGAGGGGTTGTGTATATATAGTGCATTGTGGGGGAGGGGTTGTGTATATATAGTGCATTGTGGGGGAGGGGGTTGTATATATAGTGCATTGTGGGGGAGGGGTTGTGTATATTGTGCATTGTGGGGGGGGGGGGGAATATATATAGTGCAACGGGGGTGTGTGTATAGTGCCTTTTTTGGGGGAAAGGGGTGTACATGTAGTACAATGCGGAGGGGATGGGGGTGTACGTAGTGCAGTGCGGAGGGGAGGGTGTACATGTAGTGCGGAGGGGAGGAGGGGGTGTACATGTAGTGCGGAGGGGAGGAGGGGGGTTGTACATGTAGTGCAGTGTGGAGGGGATGGGGGTGTACGTGTAGTGCAGTGTGGAGGGGATGGGGGTGTACGTGTAGTGCAGTGTGGAGGGGATGGGGGTTTACATAGCGCAATGTGGAGGGTAGGAGGGGGTGTACATGTAGTGCAATGAGGAGGAGGGGGTGTACATGTAGCGCAATGAGGAGGGGGTGTACATGTAGCGCAATGAGGAGGGGGTGTACATGTAGCGCAATGAGGAGGGGGGTGTACATGTAGCGCAATGTGGAGGGGGGGTGTACATGTAGCGCAATGTGGAGGGGGGGTGTACATGTAGCGCAATGTGGAGGGGGGTGTACATGTAGCGCAATGTGGAGGGGATGGGGGTGTACATGTAGCGCAGTGTGGAGGGGATGGGGGTTTACATAGCGCAATGTGGAGGGTAGGAGGGGGTGTACATGTAGTGCAATGTGGAGGAGGGGTGTACATGTAGTGCAATGTGGAGGAGGGGGGTGTACATGTAGCGCAATGTGGAGGAGGGGGTGTACATGTAGCGCAATGTGGAGGAGGGGGGTGTACATGTAGCGCAATGTGGAGGGGGGTGTACATGTAGCGCAATGTGGAGGGGGGTGTACATGTAGCGCAATGTGGAGGGGGGTGTACATGTAGCGCAATGTGGAGGGGGGTGTACATGTAGTGCAATGTAGGAGGGTGTACATATAATGTAATGGGGGGGTGTGGCGTATTGTGACAACACAGGATTTATGTGGTGACAACGTTGCCCGGTGCAGTGCAATGCGGACCGTACATCTACAACACAGGAGGACTGGGAGCGGATGGTGGAGTGTTTGGTCTTCCTGTGGAATCCTTCTCTTGGTCATCTCTCTCCTACATCTCGGGACACACAGTATCCTCATTGGTCCTGATGGTGGGGATGACCCCAAGTCATGGATACGAGGGGAGGGCAGCATAGCCCGGTGGCCCCGTTATGTTAGAACCTCACACAGCAGCCTGCAGTACCCCCCGACCAATGGTAGCGTCCTCACCGGCTATGACATCCACGTAGTTACACTTTGTAAATGGTATGAACCAAAGACCAGGTGGTGACTATATGGGACCTGAACCCCGATGTTGACCCGCTCGGGATGTACCCACAACTCCTGGTCACCAAACGTCCTCAGACCGGAAACTGATGGATCCAACAAGAGCAGGTAGACTTGGAAGCTGCGTGACCCTTCCTTGGACCTCCACGAAGCACAAGAAGGGAATCCAACCAATCCGCTGCAGGTAACACCAGATAGCAGAAACCTCATCCAAAGTGTGAAGAGCCTTGTCCCCGCCCCCCCCCCCCCCCCCCCCCCCCCCCCCTGGACAGAAAGACGGCATCACATGTTCTGGTTGCAAAGGAACAACGAAGCCACCTTAGAAAAAAATGGATGAATGAAGCTGAAAAAAGCCGCCTTGTCATGGTGGAGTACCCGGGGCATTTCCTCGCAGGATAGAGCAGTCCAGTCCTGATTTCTTTGAGCTGAAGTAATTTTGGCACCAAGAAATATAACCTGCCAACTCAGAAGGACTAAGAGGAATATCCCGGATGGACTCGGGTCAAGTTACTCCCCCATGGAATTGGTTGAATCCCGGCCGGTGAAACCTCATACTAAAGAACACAACGTATAAGGACTTGATCAGTCCTCCTTGAGGGCACCTTCCAAGCCTTTCATAGAGTTGGAATACATACAGTTGTGACCAAAATTATTCAACCCCCAATGCTGTAAAGGGGTTTAGGGACTATAGTGTACATTTGGAATTGTATTCAGAATCAAATCCTACAAGGACGTTGTAACTACCCAAATGCAACTAAAATGACATCAATTGTTTATGTAATACAGTAGTAAATGGTTCTTATGTGGTTTCTTCATTGCCACAATTATTCAACCCCTTAAAGACTACCACTCTGAAGAACAGAGGTTCATACAGGTGCTTTCCATCAGGTATTGAAAACACCTGTGGATGTCACCGAGCAGCAATCAAGCATAATAAGCACCAATTAGGCAGCTTTAAAATGACTGTGATACTCAGCTCCTTCTAGACATTTACTGGTGTGGTTACAAACATGGTGAAGGCAAGAGAATGGTCCAGGAAGACAAGAGAAGAGGTGATTTCTCTTCACAGGAAGGGCAATGGCTATAAGAAGATTGCAAAGATGTTAAACATACCAAGAGACACCTTAGGAAGCATCATTCGCAAATTCAAGGCAAAGGGCACTGTTGAAACGCTACCTGGTCGTGGCAGAAAGAAGATGCTGACTTCGACTGCTGTGCGCTACCTGAAGCGTAGAGTGGAGAGAAGTCCCCGTGTGACTGCTGAGGAACTGAGAAAAGATTTGTCAGATGTGGGTACAGAAGTTTCAGCCCAGACAATAAGACGCACACTGCGTAATGAAGGCCTCCGTGCCAGAACTCCCAGGCGTACCCCCTTGCTGTCTCCAAAGAATAAGAAGAGTCGACTGCAGTATGCAAAAGCCATGTGGACAAACCACAAAAGTTGTGGGATAGTGTTCTGTGGACTGATGAAACAAAATTAGAACTGTTTGGGCCCATGGATCAACGCTATGTTTGGAGGAGGAAGAACAAGGCCTATGATGAAAAGAACACCTTGCCTACTGTGAAGCATGGTGGAGGGTCAATCATGCTTTGGGGCTGTTTTGCTTCTGCAGGTACAGGGAAGCTTCAGCGTGTGCAAGGTACCATGAATTCTCTTCAGTACCAGGAGATATTGGATGGAAACGTGATGCAGTCCGTCACACACCTGAGGCTTGGGAGACGTTGGACCTTTCAACAGGACAATGATCCCAAGCATACCTCCAAGTCCACTAGAGCATGGTTGCAGAGGAAAGGCTGGAACATTTTGGAGTGGCCATCGCAGTCACCAGACTTAAATCCGATTGAGAACCTCTGGTGGGACTTAAAGAAAGCAGTTGCAGTGCGCAAGCCTAAGAATGTGACTGAACTGGAGGCCTTTGCCCATGAAGAATGGGCGAAGATACCCGTAGATCGCTGCAAGACACTTGTGTCAAGCTATGCTTCACGTTTAAAAGCTGTTATAACTGTAAAAGGATGCTGTACTAAGTACTAAGATTGAATGTCACTTGGGGGGTTGAATAAAACTGATAATGCTGTGAGCACAGAAAAGACATTTGTGGTTATTTCATTATAACTGTTATGTTATATTTGTCTGACCTACAAGTGCCTCTTTAATGTAAATGTAAGCAAGATGACTGAATGATCAAAAGCAATGTCAAACTGGCCAAAAACACTCAATTTCAGTGGGGGTTGAATAATTTTTTGGTCACAACTGTAAGATCTGGAGTTGAACCAGCAACTAAAAAAAAAACAAAAAACTGGACCCTGCATCCGAAGGTTGGGGACAATCTAAAAAGTTCAAGGTTTGTGTGCCAACCACCTTCACAATATCAGAGTGCTTCATTCTTCTGGGCTAAGGCCGGGGTTAGAAACCTCGAAAAATACCTTCCACTGTAATCCTGCTAAATTGATGAGGTAGGAGCTATAACGACGGGCATAAAGCAGGGACCACTGGTCCCACAGTCTCATTAGAGCTCAAAGATTCTCGGTCCTGGAAACTAGCTCTTCCAGCCGGGCATTGACCTTGGACACCAGAATAGCAATATCCATTGCTAAAGAGCCCCCACCTCTCAACAGAGTTCAGCAGACAGATGTGGGTGCAGCCTCCACTCTCCAGGGGACAGTTGTTGATGGCTGAGAACCCCCGTTCACCAAACTTCCACGCCTGGAATGCGGAGCACGAAAACTTGGAAGTTCTGCCCATTGCAGGATGAGATCCACGTCCGTTGAGCAGCCCAAATACTGGTGCCTCCTGGATGAAAAATTTACGCCGCTACCGTGGCTTTATCCAATTGGACCCTTATAGGAAAACCCTTCAGCTGCACCATCGATGCAGTAGGGCAAGATGAAAAGCCCTCAATTCCAGGATGTTGACGGGCAACGAATTCTCCTGTGCTGACCAAGTTCCCAGACCAAGAATTGGCCAGAATTCCATCCCATCAGAAGGGTGGTGTCTGTTCTCAAGACCCTTGAGGATAAAAGAAGGAACAATCTTCCCATCTTTGATGTTGGAGGATCCAAAAACTCTTCCATGTCCTTCTCTTCCATGTCCTTCTCTTCCATGTCCTTCTCTTCCATGTCCTTCTCTTCCATGTCCTTCTCTTCCATGTCCTTCTCTTCCATGTCCTCCTCTTCCATGTCCTCCTCTTCCATGTCCTCCTCTTCCATGTCCTCCTCTTCCATGTCCTCCTCTTCCATGTCCTCCTCTTCCATGCCAGCAGTAGATGAGTCTAAAACCCAACAAAATCTGTGTCAGTTGTTGAATTCATCATCCTCGCGTCACCAGTGTGCCAGCTGCAAAACCAAACAAATGATGGCACAATTTTACGAGCTATTTTCGTTTTTTGGTCAACAGAGTTTTCGACTCATCGTTTGCTGGCGTAAGACATTCTATTGGTGGGACCTGGAAGAAAGCTGGCCAAGGTGAAGCAGAGAAGGCGCGGTACCGGGAGACGGTGCGCTGGTTATCTCATGGGATTGTCCATTCTCAATCTTCCAGTGCCCCACCACCTACGCATGGAAAATTGTGAGATTGTGTGGCCTCTGTAACGCATGTTGTGACTAGCAGTCCACAAAGAAGGTACTGCTGCGACCCGCAGTAACCACAAGGAATCCGTGATGTGAAGGAGGTTCTTCTGTAACCTGTAGTCCTACTAGCAAGGTTGCTGCACGAGGGTCCTTCCTGACATAGGCTTTTCTTGTGCCCTGCTGCGCCGCAGCACCTGTGCAGCATGTGCCATATTTCCCACTAGGGACACCACATCCATGCCTTGCATGTGGGGGGTGGGTTTCACTAGAGCAGTTTGGGGTCACACCAGTAGAGGGCCACCACAGGGCACTTACCAGACCCTTGTAAGGGTCCAATCTTCACCTATCACTAAGGGCCTTTGGGGACTCGGGTCCCCCTGTAGGGAGTCGCTGCCCTGGACCTGTATGGCACCATACCATTGAGCTGGTTCCAGTTCCGGCTGGTAATGTTACAGGCCACCCCGTGTCATCTGGTATGGGGTGGGGTAACCCTATTTTAGTGGCTAATGAAGATGCTCTGTGTCCTGTGTAATAGGAAGGAGGTGTGTGTATATATATTGGGGGTCTCCAAACTTTCTACACAAAGGGCCAGTTTACTGTCCCTCAATTTTTGGCAGAGCCGGACTGTGGCCAGCGGGAGTAGAAAGTCCTGGTATCAGTAGGAGGAATAGTGCCCCATCATTGGTGTCAGTGGAGGAATAGTGCCCCATCATTGGTGTCATTGGGAGGAATAGTGTCCCATCATTGGTATCAGTGGGAGGAATAGTGCCCCATCATTGGTGTCAGTGGGAGGAATAGTGCCCCATCATTGGTATCAGTGGGAGGAATAGTGTCCCATCATTGGTATCAGTGGGAGGAATAGTGCCCCATCATTGGTGTCAGTGGGAGGAATAGTGTCCCATCATTGGTGTCAGTGGGAGGAATAGTGACCCATCATTGGTGTCAGTGGGAGGAATAGTGCCCCATCATTGGTGTCAGTGGGAGGAATAGTGCCCCATCATTGGTATCAGTGGAGGAATAGTGCCCCATCATTGGTGTCATGGGAGGAATAGTGCCCCATCATTGGTATCAGTGGGAGGAATAGTGCCCCATCATTGGTATCAGTGGGAGGAATAGTGCCCCATCATTGGTGTCAGTGGGAGGAATAGTGCCCCATCATTAGTGTCAGTGGGAGGAAAAGTGCCCCATCATTGGTGTCAGTGGGAGGAATAGTGCCCCATCATTAGTGTCAGTGGGAGGAAAAGTGCCCCATCATTGGTGTCAGTGGGAGGAATAGTGCCCCATCATTGGTGTCAGTGGGAGGAATAGTGCCCCATCATTGGTGTCAGTGGGAGGAATAGCGTCCCATCATTGGTATCAGTGGGAGGAATAGCGTCCCATCATTGGTGTCAGTGGGAGGAATAGTGTCCCATCATTGGTATCAGTGGGAGGAATAGCGTCCCATCATTGGTGTCAGTGGGAGGAATAGTGTCCCATCATTGGTATCAGTGGGAGGAATAGTGTCCCATCATTGGTGTCAGTGGGAGGAATAGTACCCCATCGTTGGTATCAGTGAGGGAATAGTGCCCCATCATTGGTGTCAGGGGGAGGAATAGTGCCCCATCATTGGTATCAGTGGAGGAATAGTGCCCCATCATTGGTGTCAGTGGGAGGAATAGTGCCCCATTTTTGCTGACAGTGAGGGAATAATGCCCCAAGGGCAGGATAAAATGAAGCAAAGGGCCACATCTGGCCCTCGGGCTGCAGTTTGGAGACCCCTGGTGTATATATAGTGGAATATTAGTGTGTTTGGATTAAGTGAGAAGGTATATAATGTAACAGAGGGTGGGGGGAAAGAGTTCTATAGTATATTTGGTGTTGGGGGGGTTATATAATTGCAGGGTCCATTGCTGTGATTAGTAGGGGGGGGGGGTTGAGGTACATATTGTATGCTCTATGTAGTTGTTGGTTTGCAGACTGGTCTTGGAAGGCTGATTTTTGGTTTCAGCCATATTCGATAATTGGAATAAAAGAAGTAATCTGTGTTTCTGTTCTTCCCCATCAGGTCTTGGAGAATTATTCAGATGCACCGATGACCCCAAAACAGATTCTGAACGTGATTGAGGCTGAGGGGCTGAAAGAGACCAAGTGAGTTTTGTGTGTTCCAGCTCCTGGCAAAAGGCGGAGTGCCTCCCAGTGTCTTCGCTAAAAAAAAATCCCGATACGTGTAAATTAATTGGTTTACGTGAAAGTTATAGTGTTTACAAATGGCGGTATAGATAATGGGATTTTTTTTTTTCTACTAGTAATGGCGGCGATCAGCGACTTTTAGCGGGACTGCGGCGGACATTCTGACACTGGGGGTGGGGGGGGGGGACTGACTCTAGTTTCACTGACATCCCCAGTGACCCCAATACAGTGATCAGTGCTAAAAAAAAAAAAGCACTGATGCTGTACTAATGGCACTGGGCATGAAGGGGTTAATGTGAGGGGCGATCAAAGGGTTAAATGTGTGCTGGGAGTGTTTTTACTTGGGGGTGGGGGGGTGTGCTTCACTGTAATCACACTGATCAGGATGGCTGTGCTGTGTGCAACCATCCCGAGCAGTGTGCTTGAGCTGTCTGGCAGGAAGATTAAACAAAAGTCTTCCTCCCTGTCTGAGATGCTCGGTAATCACTGGGCGCCGGCGGATAATTACCGGCCGGGATCCAGTGATTGACATTCGCGGGCTCAGTACGAGCCCCCTACCCAGAAATGCAAAATGATGTATATATACACGTGATGCTGCTCAGTACATCTGCTAAATGGCGCTCCTTAAGCGGTGAATGTCCATGGCATGTCACTAATTATTGTTTTTTTCTCTTTTTATATGATCATCTTTGGCATCTACAGAAGGTAAGAACAACTTAAAAATGATATATAGAACTGTAAAGTTTGTGTCTGCTGTTTTTTGTGGTCACTTTGTCCCCAAATCTCCCACACCCCCTTCCACCCTCTCCTCTCGTCATTCCCTACTACCATGCCAGCCCCCTGAGAGTCCTAAAAGGTCTTGGGGGCCCTCAAGTCACTGGGATAGGATCTCATGGGGGCTGGTCACATGACCACTCAGCTAGACACTGAGGAAGAGGATCACAATTGAATTGCAAGTCTCTCCTCTTCAAGTGATCTGCTAACATAAATGTCGTCCAATGCCTTGTGAAGTAGGGGTTCCTGCAGTGAAGAAAAAAAAAAAAAAAAAAAAATTATATAAATATATATAATATAAATTTATTTATTTATTTATTTTTTTTTTTTTTTAACAAAAATGGAATATGCCTTTAAGGCTTCCATTCTGTATGAAAAAAAACAAATTCCCAGTTAAAACATATCCCAATCACACTTGCACATCTACCTGGACTCAGAGACAGCCCAGATAGAGATATATATATATATAGATATATATATAGATATATATATATATATATATATATATATATATATATATATATATATATATATATATATATATATATAAAATTGCAGCAAGCGGGACTTTGGAAAATGCAAATGACCAGTGAAGTGCTCCATAGGATGTAATGGTCATGCCTTTGTCTTGCACTTCTTTAAATGCAAAAATTGAAGAAAAACGGATCGGTTGGAAAACAGCCTAATGGTGATCTTGGAAAAGGTTCCTGTGAGACTTGGGTGGGATTTAGTGTGACTTGGCCCCATAGAATGTGAAAAAACAAACATCAACCAAGTCACACTAAAAAATCACCCCATTGAGTAAGTGGAGGTTTTATCCAAAGTTAGTGGCCTGGCTACTGATTAGGTGTTTTTTTTGGTTTCTTTTTTGCATTTAAAAAAAAAAAAAAAAAAAAAAATAGTGAAGCCAGAGACTGTAAAAAGTCACAGATAGCAACCCGGTTTAGGATTTGTTTATTTTAGAAAAGTGTGTTTTTGTTTTTTTTTCTTTTCTTTTTCATTTTTCTTTCTTTATTCATTCTTCTTTTTATTTATTTTTTTCTTGCTTTCTCTCTCTCTCTCTCTCCTCCTTCCTGTCTGTCTCTCTTTTCTCTCTCTTTCTTTCTCTTTTTCATCTTTCTCTTTTTTTGTCTCTCTCTCTCTGTCCTTCCTGTCTGTCTGTCCGCCCCCCCCCCCTCCCCTCCCCTCCCCTTCCTGTCTGTCTTTCTTTCTTTCTCTTTTTTTCCTCTCTCTCTGTCTGTCTGTCCTTCCTTCCTGTGTCTCTCTCTCTCTTTCCTGTCTGTCTCTTTCTTTCTCTTTTTTCGTCTTTCTTTTTCCTCTCTCTCCCCCTCTCCCTCTGTCTGTCCGTCCGTCCGTCCTGTCTGTCTTTCTCTTTTTTTCGTCTTTCTCTTTTTTCGTCTTTCTCTTTTTTCGTCTTTCTCTTTTTTCGTCTTTCTCTTTTTTCGTCTTTCTTTCTTTTTTTTTTTCGTCTTTCTTTCTCTTTTTTTTCGTCTTTCTTTGTCTTTTTTCGTCTTTCTCTCTCTCTCTCTCTCTCTCTCTCGCTCTCTCTCTCTCGCTCTCTCTCTCGTGAACTGACATGATCTTTGTGGTGCAGCGGATCTTCCCCACTCGCCTGCTTGAACGCCATGTTACATTCTAACTCCAGAACCCGAGAGGCTCTTTTCTACAAGCTCCCAGGGCGGATCAATCTGTTCACAATGAAGGTGAGTGTGAGCTGAGAATGGACATTGTAACGGTGTTTAGCGGAAGAAGATACAGTAAAGTGATTCTAAAGGCTGAAGGTTTTTTTACTTTCATTTATTTTATGCAATCGCAGAGGAACACTAACAGGGGAGAGGTCTTTATGTAAACAACACAGATCTCTTCCTTCAGCACCAGCACGCTACTTTGTATGGCTCTGCATGGCAGAGCCATACAAAGCAGTGTGCTTACATAGTAAAGCACACACAAACAACACAGTAAAACAGCACACAGTTAACCCTTTGATCGCCCCAGATATTAACCTCTTCCTGCCCAGTGTCATTAGTACAGTGTCAGTACTTTTTATTAGCACCGATCACTGTATTGGTGTCACTGGGGATGTCAGTAGCAGTTAGTACTCCCCAGTGTCAGAATGCCCATCGCAGCCCCCCTATAAGTTGCTGATCGCTGCCATTACTAGTATTAAAAAAAATAAATCCTAGTGTATATATACCGCGGAGCTAAATCCTCAGGAGGGCGAGGGGTTAAACTTTTGACAAACCAAAAGCCCGAAAGCTGATTGGTTTCTATGCAGAGCCTCACCTGGTTTTGAACTCTCCGGTTTTAGTAAATGACCCCCGTAGTACGATACAAAGAGCAAAGGAAATCCTTTAAAAAATGCTGCTGTTTCTCTTTTCGATGATAGAAGAATGCACTGCAGTGGTCTCGTGTGGTGTCATTGCCTGAAGATGGGGACACAGAAGATACAGCCGACGAGGAGAGCAGCCAATGGAGTGAGAGCAATACAGGCGCTGCAGGTACAGGTGTCACACTGGGCTGGCCATTGACCCTTCTTCCCATCTCAAAGAATACCCCCTACTGACCTGTGTAGAATGAGGAGCAATATCAGCAATATCTACACAAACTCAATATTTCCAGAGCCTGACCGATTTTCTTTTCTTTTCATTCAGTGGAATCATCTGGAAGCGCGTCCTCTGCCCAAGAGTCCAACGTCAGAGAAACCAGGTCCTTGGTGCAGGTAATGGCTCTTTTCTGGGAGGGGGGAATATTTGGGGGTGCCCTCTTTTCTCTGTGACCCTGAGGTGCTCATCGTTTAGGTCAACAAACAGAAGAGAAGAAGTGGAGTTTTACTGCCTCGTGTTGTTTTGACGCCTCTGAAGGTCAACGGAGCCCATTTACCATCAACCTCCGGTAAGAATATTAGTCAATTTGCCACAAAGGTCACTAGCTGATCTCTTCTGTTTGGGTTCATCAGTAGTCCTACCTAGGTCAAGTCATAGTACAGCGCTGTTATAAATAATAACAGTTACATGACATTGAATAATAACCAAGTGCCTGAAAGATAAATACATCTAAAAGAAAAAGTCCCCAAAGTAATTAAAAAAAAAAAAAAAATATATATATATATATATATATATATATATAATATATATATATATATATATATATTTTAATAAATATAAATTTTATATATATATATATATATTTATTTTTTTTTAATAATATACATTTTTTATATATATTTTAATAATAATATAATTTTTATATAATATATATTTTAATAATATAAATTATATATATATATATATATATTTATTATTATTATTAATAATATATATATACTTTATATTATTAAAAAAAAATAAATTTATATATATATATATATATATATATATATATATATATATATATATATATATAAATTTATATTTTTTATATATATATTTTTTATTTTTTTTTTTTTTTTTTTTTAAATACTTTGGGGACATTTTTTTTTTGGATGTATTTATCTTTCGGTCACTTGGTTATTATTTAATGTAATGTAACTGTTATTTATAAACACAGCGCTGCACTATTGATTCGAAATAGGTAGGACTAATACATAATAATAATAATTATATATATATTTTCTTTATATATATATATATATATGATATATGTATATAAAACTTTATATATTTATTAGTGTGTATGTATATATGTGTGTGTGTGTGTATATAGATAGATAGATATGTGTGTGTGTGTATATATATATTATGTATATGTAGCACAGCCCTTTAGTCATAAGTACATCTACACTTGTCACCACAAAGTCCCACCTGTTGATCCTGCCATGGAAGTCCTCATAATGCAGCTTCCTGTTATGCTGTGACAACGATGCTGCGTTGCTCCTGAATTCAGTGCAGCGTTGCCACTCGTGTAAGCTGTGCCTGCTTAGTGGGAGAAGATGTTGGAGCGGGCGTGGCTTTTCAGCCTTAACATTCATATTGCTGATATACAAGCCTGTATCTGTCAGCACCTGGCCACACCTATCCCTGCCCACTGATATCTGGGTTGACAGAATGTGTTTCTGCTGCTGAACCCTTCCCACTGTGAGCTGCAGTGTCTGGGAGGGGGAGCGCGTGAGATACAAAGGAAGCAGGATCATCGCTGACACGCGGCTCAGTCCTGGAGGGTAAAGGAATTCCTTTCATTTCTGAGTCTCGGGCATCACGTAGCACATGGATTCTGGGACTGGTTTAGAGTCATAGAGAAGCTGTTATTAGTGATTTGTTTCTGCTGGCTGACTCTCTGCTGTGTCTCAGGCTTATCTGTCCGTCGTGTAGAGAGCGCGTCCTCCAGTAACCGAACCATCGGGAGCAATCTGACCTTTCACAGGCGTGCCGCGCTGAGCGGAAACTCCACACATCATCTCAGAAGTATTAAGACTTCCCCAGTTACAGGTAGAGTGGAAACACTTGTTACTGTTTGTGACATGAAAGGTTTTTCTGACAGAACTGTCTCTCCCACAACCATGAATCGTGTGACGAGTGCTTCGCTTAAAGGGCATCTCCTGTTCTGTCGCAGGGCAAGTAAAGAAGAACAAAGAAGAAGAGATCGACTTCGAAACCCCGGGATCTATTCTTGTCAATACAAACCTTCGTGCACTGATCAACGTCCGGACGTTTAATGCTCTCCCCCACAATCTTCAACAGCAGCTGCTGCTCCTACTTCCAGAGGTGGATAGGCAGGTAATCTCCTTGCAGAGCACGGGTGTTGACCACTTGACTTATGGAAGGTACAATCTAAGGTCCCTAACCCTCAAGGGGGCATACCTAAGGTCCCTAACCCTCAAGGGGCGTACAATCTAAGGTCCCTAACCCTCAAGGGGTGTACAATCTAAGGTCCCTAACCCTCAAGGGGGCATACAATCTAAGGTACAAGGGGCTACAATCTAAGGTCCCTAACCCTCAAGGGGCGTACAATCTAAGGTCCCTAACCCTCAAGGGATGTACAATCTAAGGTCCCTAACCCTCAAGGGGCCCAATCTAAGGTCCCTACCCTCAAGGGGCGTCCAATGTAACCCTCAAGGGGCGTCTCTAAGGTCCCTAACCCTCAAGGGGCGTCCAATCTAAGGTCCCTAACCCTCAAGGGGCGTCCAATCTAAGGTCCCTAACCCTCAAGGGGCGTCCAATCTAAGGTCCCTAACCCTCAAGGGGCGTCCAATCTAAGGTCCCTAACCCTCAAGGGGCGTCCAATCTAAGGTCCCTAACCCTCAAGGGGCGTCCAATCTAAGGTCCCTAACCCTCAAGGGGCGTCCAATCTAAGGTCCCTAACCCTCAAGGGGCGTCCAATCTAAGGTCCCTAACCCTCAAGGGGCGTCCAATCTAAGGTCCCTAACCCTCAAGGGGCGTCCAATCTAAGGTCCCTAACCCTCAAGGGGCGTCCAATCTAAGGTCCCTAACCCTCAAGGGGCGTCCAATCTAAGGTCCCTAACCCTCAAGGGGCGTCCAATCTAAGGTCCCTAACCCTCAAGGGGCGTCCAATCTAAGGTCCCTAACTCACATTCATACATACACATACTAGGGACAATTTGGACAGGAACCAATTCACCTATCAGCATGTCTTTGGAGTGTGAGAGGAAACTGGAGTATCCAGAGGAAACTCACACAGGCACAGGGAGAACCTGTGATCTCCAGGCAGGTGGTGCCGTGGTTGTGCCAGGCGGAAGTGCTAACCATTTAGTCAGTGTGCTATCTTTATTCCTGGCTGCTGCTGGTGGTACCTGTGCAGTGCTGGTGTCACCGTCCATCTGGGGACATTAGAGAATGCTGAGTATTGGAATTATTGCTCAGGAACATCTTCAGGTGAAATTTGTGACACTCAGAACTTCCTGGGATCTCGGCAGAGGGTTGGCGATGTCGCCGTCACCTGTGCGCTGCGAGCAGAAATGGAGTTGGCGGCTGGAGGATGGCACGGGGCTAAAAAATTGTTCAAAGTCAAATATTGATTATAATCCAATTAAAATATTTATATGTGGAAATGTGCAAAAGCTGTGCAGATTGTAACATTGCTGTGCGTGTCTTTCCAGGTCACTCCAGACGGGCAGACGAAGATGAGTGGCAGTGCCCTGAATAACGAGTTCTTTGCCCATTCCTGTCAGAGATGGAGGGAGAGGCTAGCAGACGGTAGGTGACACTCATATGTCATAAGGATTCGATGTCCAACAATCGCACATACACCACACACCTCCCCATTCATCCCGTGCCAATCGGTGAAACCACGGGGATGTGAAGACCATGGGGCAGGGAGAATCCTCAGCTCGGTGTAAACGCCATGTGACTGCACTGGGTACCTGACCTACCAACTGCCAGTACTGCTGGGAAAGTGTCAGTTGCTCTCCATATCTACAAACTACCATTTTTATTTTTTTTTGTCTTTACTCCTCTGTAGCTCCCTTTGGCCTTCAGGGGAATAGATTTTGTGGGGCAGATATTACATGCTGTTCTCGGGGGGGGGGGGGGGGGGGGGGGGGGGGGGGGGGGGGGGGGGTGGGGGGGGGGAAGGACGGTTTTGCTTTAACCGCTTCCGGTCCGGACGCTTTGCTGCAGTCATTGAGAAATACCTTGAGAGCTGCGATTGGTCACAGCTTGTCACATGGTACAAGGTTGCTGTGAATAGTCTTGTACCATGTGACCTCTGTGATTGTTCAGATTTACAAGTAGTAAGCAATGAAGTCGGGAAGTGACATCTTGTTTACTATAGTGACACTGTACTACTGTGGGGGGTGATGAAGATTTTTTTTTTTTTTTCTCTTTTTACACATTGCTTTTACACCCATAAAGGCTGTAAATGCCATCATTTCTTCTTTGACTGCATTCTTGCAGCCATTGAGAAATACTGTGTGAGCTGTGATTGGTCACAGCTTGTCACATGGTATAAGGCTGTTGTGAATAGCCCTGTACCATGTGATCTCTGTGATCATTCACAGATGTCACACGTAGTAAGCAATGATGTCAGAAGTGACATCTTGTTTACTGCTATTCATGTGATCACTGATTGGCCAATCAGTGATGACATGAATCAGGACCTCACATAGAGGTCCCGTACGCAGGGAGCGCGCACAGGCAATGGATGCAGGGGGTCGTTTGGAAACGTCCACCTGTAATGGCATCGCTCCCGTCTGACCGTTTATCGACATGTGGTTAGGTCTTTTTTATGATTTGTTTTCCACTCTGTTGTGTTTTTTTACTTTAAAAATTTCAAAAATGCATGCTTTCAGAACACTTTTTTGTGTTTCTCTGGCCTGAAATGAACTCTAAAAACTTCTGCACGCCAGTCCTGTTGTCTTCTATACTGGAACAGTCACAATATTTCAAATAAAAGATTTTACAAGTGGCGTGAGGCTCTCATAAAGGCCGATGCTGGTGCAGAGTACATTAACTGGCAGGCAAAGATTTTTACCATCCCCCCCACCCCCAGAGTCTCCCCAGTATAGGCTCATACACACTAGGTGTCATAAGCTGTTGATTGGCAGACGCTGAGATATCAAGTGCTGTATGTCGTGTTCACAACATACAAGTGTGCTGCCTGAGCATGACAAGCAATGACGTGAGCAATCCTCCAAACATCAACACTGCCATTGGGTTCCAACATGCCGTGGGGGCAAAACGCACACCAGCCCCCACCCTATGACTACGCCCTGGTGGGTGGGGTGTGGAAGGTGTGGTTTGATGGAGACCGCTCTTTATCGTTTCTTTTCCCAGGCCAGTTGGGCGTAGCGGCAAACCTTCCCTCTTTACACCAGCCTACATCGCATGCGCACCATAACATGCACCCGCTGGGGTGTGGGCCCCCGAGTCATTCAACACGTGTCTGCATGAAGCTGACCCCCTTTACGCTTGTCCTATGCTGTGGTTCCTGTAATTGGATGTCTGTCCCCGCAGGTGAATTTACGCCAGAGATGCAGCTGAGAATGAGACAAGAGATGGGCAAAGAAAAGAAAATAGAAGATTGGAAGGAGAAGTTTTTCGAGGATTTCTATGGGCAAAAGTGAGTGGCTATTGGGATCATCATTTGTTTTGGTTCATTTGGGGTGTCGGTGGGTCATCTGTATGTTCCACACCTGCCTGTTCCTGCAGGTTCCTGTTCACAATGTTCATTTAGGGTCCTCATTGGGTGTATGACTCTGCATTTACTAGAAGGATGCGTTCTCAGTGATGTCACCGCTCTCTAGTGAATGGATAGGCTGCATTCTCAGTGATGTCACTGCTCTCTAGTGATTGGATAGGCTGCATTCTCAGTGATGTCACCGCTCTCTAGTGATTGGATAGGCTGCATTCTCAGTGATGTCACCGCTCTCTAGTGAATGGATAGGCTGCAATGTCACCGCTCTCTAGTGAATGGATAGGCTGCATTCTCAGTGATGCGACTGCTCTCTAGTGAATGGATAGGCTGCGTTCTCAGTGATGTCACCGCTCACTAGTGAATGGATAGGCTGCATTCTCAGTGATGTCACTGCTCTCTAGTGATTGGATAGGCTGCATTCTCAGTGATGTCACCGCTCTCTAGTGATTGGATAGGCTGCATTCTCAGTGATGTCACCGCTCTCTAGTGAATGGATAGGCTGCATTCTCGGTGATGTCACCGCTCTCTAGTGAATGGATAGGCTGCATTCTCGGTGATGTCACCGCTCTCTAGTGAATGGATAGGCTGCATTCTCGGTGATGTCACCGCTCTCTAGTGAATGGATAGGCTGCATTCTCGGTGGTGTCACCGCTCTCTAGTGAATGGATAGGCTGCATTCTCGGTGGTGTCACCGCTCTCTAGTGAATGGATAGGCCGCATTCTCGGTGGTGTCACCGCTCTCTAGTGAATGGATAGGCCGCATTCTCGGTGGTGTCACCGCTCTCTAGTGAATGGATAGGCCGCATTCTCGGTGGTGTCACCGCTCTCTAGTGAATGGATAGGCCGCATTCTCGGTGGTGTCACCGCTCTCTAGTGAATAGATAGGCCACATTCTCGGTGATGTCACCGCTCTCTGATGAATGTGGTAAGTGCACAATATTTTCCTTATTTCATATGAAAGTAAATATTTTTGCCTGTTTTATATTTGTAGACTTGGCCTGTCTGAGGATCCAGGTTCTGACCCGGAAAATAAATGCAACCAACCTGATTCCACAAGTCAAGCTGTGCAGAGGACCAGCCCAGAGCCCATTCATGTTGAAGAATCCCTTCCAGAGATCCGGGGCAGACTGCGGCGCAGCATGTACAGAAACCGAGAGAGACTACAGAAAACCCTTCCAGTGGCTTCAAAGGCAAAAATCTCTTCTCCTCCTCCCAAGAAAGCTGAGAATATCAGCCCAGCTTCAGAGGACAGACTAGCCCCTGCGGAAGCTGTAAACCTTCCATCCACTTCTGACAGGGTCCCAGAGCTTCATCCCGAGAACAGCGAGCAGAAAAGAAAGATGGCCGATCCAGATAACTCCAGCCCCTCCCTCGAAAAGAAGCCACGGATGGAACAGCGTCAGTCCTTTCGTAACACAATTACAAGTGTTCACCCAGAAAAGCCACAGCCCACCAAAGAGGAACCAAAAGTCCCCCCAATCCGGGTATTGCTAAGTCCTTTTTATTTCCTGTTGCATTTTTGGTGTGAGCAGAAGTCTGCTTAAGCTCCGGTTTACACCGAATGCGATTTTCCAGTTGGTGCGATTTGGTTCCAGTTTAACCCCTTGACGCTGACCGCACACAAATATGCGGCCTCTCTGCGTCTGGGACTTGACTCCGAGCGGCCGCATATTTGCGTGCAATTAGAAAGTACATATGTGCTGAGAGTGCGCGCTCCCAGCTCATATGTCCGTGTTTCCTGGAAAGGTCTCGATCTCCCCTTTTGATCGGGACCTTTTCCAATATTGATAGCGAATCACAGCGGTCACACGCCCCTAAAACCCCGCCCCCCGCCTCCCGGCTTCTGAGACTCCAAAAAGGGCCGGGAGGCGCCAGCGCCAAGGGGTTAAAGTACGACTTCAAAGTAGCGCTGATATAGACATGGGTGCAATTTTGGGGACATTTACCTTTCTATAGTCTGTAAGTTAACCCCTTCACGCCGGCGTGGAGGAGTTCCTGCGCCGGGAGGTGGGCAGGACGGGGCTTAGTGTCATGTCACTGCCGGTCACATGATCGGGCAAGGTCCCGATCGAAAGAGTGGACCGGGACCTTTCTGCGAGTACCGCACATGTGTGCTGGGAGAGCGCACGGTGCGCGCTCTCAGCACATATGTTTTTTGTTACATGAACGCAAATGTGCGGCCGCTTGGCGTCTAGGTCCAGACACCGGAAGGCTGCACATTTGCGTGCGGCCGGCATGAAAGGGGTTAAAGTGGTGAAAAAGTAATGCAGGAACTATTTTTCAAAATGCGACGCTTGAAATCGCACCTATTAAGACCGTACCATAGAAATACGTTAGATGCGAATTCAGGTGTGATTTGTGAATTGCGTGTCGCACCTGAAGTCGCAGCGGTATGAACCAGGGCTTCATGTGAAGGAATGTGTAAGTGGTCTAATCATAGTGGGGACACCACCACGTCCTGTTCCATTGAGGGTAAGTAGTTTAACCTCTTGGCACCGGCCACACGCAAATGTGCGGCCTCCCGGCGTCTGGTCCTTGATGCCGAGCGGCCGCACATTTCTGTGCAATTAAGAAAAACACATGTGCTGAGAGTGCGTGCTCCCAGCACACGTCAGGTACTCACGGAAAGGTCCCGATCTCCTCTTGTGATCGGGACCTTTCCTGATCGCGTGACAGCAAATCACGTCTGTCACGTGACCCTAAAACCCTGGCTTCTGAAACCCTTAAAGGGCCGGGAGGCGCCAAAAGAAACCTGCCATTAAAGTGGTAATAAAGACAAACACAGGCTTTTAATTTATCAGTCATTTTTGAAAAGTCTTTCTTGATTTACTAGTCGCCTGACAATACCCTCTCTCCTACCATTGCCGTCCAAGGGTGACCCCATTGAGGTGCTACCCCAAGACAGGAAGTATGTTACCAACCAAGTCACCAGGTGAACATAAAGGAAACAAGTCCTCCTAATGGTGTCACTCTCTCCAATAGTTGTCATAAATGGGTAGTGTTTCAATTAAAGAACTATGGGCTACGTGGAAAATGCACACAATACATATGATCGCCTTTACTGTTCACTAATGTGCCTCTCAGCTGCTGATGGTTATGGAGGATTTTGCTGGACCTTTTTGATTTAATTGTCTTTTTATCTTGCAGATCCAGCTTTCTCGCATCAAACCTCCCTGGGTGGTTAAAGGTCTGCCAGCTTACCAGATCTGTCCCCGGATCATCCCAAACCCTGATCCCCCTGGGTGCCAACTTACTTCCTGCTCACCTGCTGACAGTCAGACCAGTGGCCATGACCTCCAGACCTCCATTGGTGGAGGCGGAGGCCCGGGAGGAGGCCACAGCACCACGGCGAGAAGAAGCTGGCCCAGAGACTCCAAAAGGAGAAGATCGGCTAAGCGTAGACATCGAAAGAAGCCAGCAGATTGCTGCAGAACACAATTACTGCCGTCCGCTACAGTGAGGGATTCGGCGGACAAACCTCAAGTTCCTCGAGTCAAAATCACTTGGAGTTCTCCAGAGACCAAAGAGTATGGTCACGACGCCAGAGGGGCCAAAGAGTGGCACGTCAATGAGCTGGTTGATGGCGAGGTTGGCTCTTTGGATTACTGTAAGAGTTCCGAAAAAGCTACAAATATCTGTGACATGGATGATCCTATGGATGGCAAAGGGGAAGAAAATGTAAGAGTTGGCCGGCCGGCTTCCGTTCTAGTTACGGATTCTGCAGGGCAAGGGAACTGTGTACAGACTGAATCTGTGTCTTGTGTTCTTGGTGACGTGTCCAATACCTTTCAGAACAGAATTAAACCTGTTAACGCGAGTTCAAATGAAAAGGATTCCAATGACAAAAGCAGTGATGGTATCATGGATTCTTCACATCCAGACCTCCAAGAGTCTGCAAATTCAGCCACCGTTGACCCTCGCTCTCTTGAACCTCAGCCAGCCAGCACCTCAACCGATAACGTGCATCGGGACTGTGGAAGTCATCCAGAGACCATTCCTTGTAAGTCGGTCAACTTATCTCCTGTTCTGGATGTACGGGAGCCAAACGAGTCTGACTTATTGGACAGTGTTAAGCAAAATCAGACACACGTGTTGGCAGGGTCACCTCGCTCACCGTCATGTGACACGTGCGAAAGTACACCCGTTCAAACGACAGATTTATCTTGTCTGCATACGGACATGAACTTCATGTTCAAAGTTGGAGATGATTTATCTCCTAAAGGTCTGAATGACGGTCTCAAGGATTCTCTACCCTTGGTTGCTCCCACTGCTGTAAAAAGTGAATTTCCCGACCAACGTTGTCCTACGTTAATCTCCAAAGATGGATATTTTTTGGCAAACGCGAGTGAAGAGTTGCCGAGATCTTGCTCACCTCCCAGTGTCCCATCTCTGGGTGAAGGGGTGGTAAATAAAGGGAGCGCCGAGAAACCTAATCCTCGTGGTATTGATCCACCTAACGTCTTGGAACTGTTCCAGGGTGACGAAATGTTTTGTGGTGGAAAACAACAGCGTTGGCTAGCTAGCTATATGGAGTCCATCAACAAGGATAGTTTGCTCTTGGACTTTCCATTTGTCTCATTTCCCAAGGAGGTCGATGTCCACGTCGAGCTGCCAGTAGAGTTGTTGTCGCTATCCCCTCCAGGCAAATTAAAACAAACTTTATTTGGGAAGCAAGCGCAGGATGTAGCTTCCTACTGCTACTCAGCCGGGGTGCTCCTCTCCTCCTTTCCTGGAGAATACGCGGTGACCGGCGAGGCCTCCCTGTCCGTGGAAGTCTTTGCCGAGCATGAGAGCGGGGAGCATGTGTCGTTCCGGTGCAGCTTCAAAGCCATGACAGTTTGCGAAGGGTGCGGAGCGTTCTATCACATCGACTGCATAGGCCCCTCCAAGCTTTGTGATTCGTGCCTTGTCATAAGATAGTATAAAGATGGCCCGGGACTTTCAATAGTACGTTGTCTGTATTTTCATAACCTCGGAGCCCGGAGGTGATTTAATATGTATTATGCTTCATTTTGTTAGAGACTAAACCGCTGATGATTATTATTATTATTCAGCTCTTATTGTGATACAGATCCTGCTGAAGGGGCAGTAATGCAAAAGAGCTGTAACTGGTCTTACCAACGTTTTTTGGATGTCTCCTCTCCTTAGTCATTGCCAGGCAGTGCCAATGGGAGAGATGGTGCATTGATCGTTACAACGGAATTTTAGGATGGGTTCCCTTTTTTTTTCTTTTTTTCGCAAGGTAGAGTTTAGGTCCTTCTCAATCAGGGTTCCTTGGAAGAAAAAGGGGGAGGGGGGGAGATAGGGGCTAAAGAAGCAAATATTGCCAAGGACCATACAGGAATAGAACCATAAATTAAACAAAAAAGTCCATCAAATGTCCATGACTTAAACTGTATGTAGGCACCAGCAGCAGAACCACCCTCCCAGAGTGAAGCTGAAGCTCTGATTTGGTGTATGTAAAGACAACACAGAGAGGGTGCCAGACTAAGCGCAGTATGGGACAAATCCATTTATTGAGATATAGGAAAATCGGAAACTCACTATTGAGCAGATAGAATGGGCATGTAAAACCATCGCAGGAGGTTCCTCAAGGTGATCCGGCTGATGTTCCTTGGCCAAGTCTGGGAGGGAAGTAGCGACGGCTGGAACCCACGTGGGACGCAAGATGGCAAGTGATGACACCAAGGAGACGTCACTCCGTAAAGTGGGCGGTAACGCGTTTCGAAGCTTCCGCTTCTTCGTCAGTTCCTCCAGAGGTGGCCAGGGGTTCCCTAAACGAAGTGATCTCCCATCTGATGGTGCCTGCATAGTTTCAGGTCAACTGGGGGCACTCTTCACATCAATGTAAGGAGCATTTTCCCAATGACTCCACCATGGGCTAATCTTACCAGGGGTTCCCTGAGAATTATTTCAAGGGTTCTTCTGGGGTCAAAAGGTTGAGAGGCTGGCTTAGACCAACAATATGGCAACCAATAGCAGCAAGCCTGGACGTCAATGTAAGGAGCATTTTCCCAATGACTCCACCATGGGCTAATCTTACCAGGGGTTCCCTGAGAATTAGATCAAGGGTTCTTCTGGGGTCAAAAGGTTGAGAGGCTAGCTTAGACCAACAATATGGCAACCAATAGCAGCAAGCCTGGACGTCAATGTAAGGAGCATTTTCCCAATGACTCCCCCATGGGCTAATCTTACCAGGGGTTCCCTGAGACATGAGAATTATTTTAAGGGTTCTTCTGGAGTCAAAAGGTTGAGAGGCTGGCTTTGACCAACAGCAGCAAACCTGGATTTGGTCTGCAGCGGTCAGCACAAAAAATGGTTGCTGTGGGTAAAGTCTCTTTTATGTTGCATTTTTGGCAGATGTTTTAAGCTTTTAGCCATTTTTGAGGATGCCATGCTTAGCAATATCTGTCCTTTAGCAGCTCGTGAGTTGGCTGTTTGAATAAACGCATAGGCTTCAATTTGGTTGAGTTCATGGGCCTCATAATTGTTGAAAAGTCTCGTCTTTTTTTTAGGCCCCTAGAAACCAGTTTTTTTGTTTTTGTAATTTTTTTATAATTTACTTTTTAGCATCCAGTTGACACAGACCTTACGGTTTTTGGGCATTTTTGTATTTTGCCGCGTGGCTCACGCTTCGGCACAAGGTCTTACTGGGGTCCAGAGTTGGGCATTAGCAGGCCTGCCCATTTCTAGCCGTTGTTTTAAACATAATTTTGTAGGGTTGGGTCTTGTAGTGGCCAGTGGCGTCTCCCCAGTTGGCTCCACAGAGATGGGGAGACCATTTGTTGATGAGCAGTAAGAAAGGGTTTCCGGACTTGGGACCCTGAGGTCCTGGGTGTAGAATGAAGATGAACATGTTGGCAGCCATGTTTGCTTTTTTAAAAATGGTGAATTTTTTTTTATAGTTATTGAGCCTCCTTTTGTAGCATCTTGTGCCGAGGAAACAAATTGGTGCCCAAAGGAGAGAACTGATCTAGCCAACAAGCGGTTGACCACGTTTGGGTTCTGATGCCCAACCGGGGTGTCAGGTTTAAAGTTTTATCTTTGTCAGATGAATGTGGCATTGACCCTTCGTAATGCTTCGTTTACTAAACCCGTCACTCATCTGATAGAGAAACTATTGGCTCGACTCGCAATTTACGAGTCTCTTGGGTGCCCTCTTGGGCACATGATCCTGCAGAGGAGGGAAGACCGTAGCTTGGTGGTACTAATGGGTTACGGCGTCTGGAAGGAAGACTGATAAACAACTGAAGGATTTGGGCTCACAGGTCCGACTCTCGTTTTGAGAGTCAGGCCGTCCCTATAATAAGGTGCTTCTATACAAATAACTGCGCAGTAATGTGCAGAAAACTGTTGAGTAAAGTTTAAAAAAAATGTTGCTCCCGGTTTCTATGTTCACACTTTGCCTCTGTGGTGCACGCAACACTCCCGGTGCCACGTCTTTGTGGGGTATGCACAGTATTAATAAAGTTTTATTGTATTACTTTTTTTCAGTCACTCTCGGAACGTTACTGCCCCTTCATCCCCCACCCCCACCTCCAGCACCGCTCTAGAGGCTGTAACGGGGTGCTTCCCCAGCCGTATGTGGGTGACGGCAGGGGGTCATGGTCAGGGGGCGGGGCTTGGGGAGGGCGGGATGGGTGGGTGGGAAATGTCCATACTTGGTTTTGCATGGACAAGAACATGTTTGAGATTTCAACAAGTTGTATATAAAGTAAACTGTTCGGCTTCCGCATTCCAGTGTTTTATTCCTGTATTTATGTTGTAAACAATTTTTGCCCACAATATAAATGTATATTCTGTATAGATGGCATCGCTGTGTGAGCTTCCATTACTGGCCTCCTCTTTCTGTCTGTTGGCCTTGTTCTGTATGGGGATTGGGGCACCTAGACCGCTTTAGTACCGCCCCATAGCAGAAATTCTGCTTCAGGGCGGCAGCTGTGCACAAAATCACGCGTGTGTGTGCGTGTGTATGTATATGTGTGTGTACATATATAGTGTGTGTGTGTATATATATATATATGTGTGTGTGTGTGTATGTATGTGTGTGTGTGGGGATCGAAAGTTTGGGCACCCCAGCTAAAAATTTGTATTAATGTGCATAAAGAAGCCAAGGAAAGATGGAAAAATCTCCAAAACGCATCAAATTACAGATTAGACATTCTTATAATATGTCAACAAAAGTTAGATTTTATTTCCATCATTTACACTTTCAAAATAACAGAAAACAAAAAAATGGCGTCTGCAAAAGTTTGGGCACCCTGCAGAATTTATAGCATGCACTGCCCCCTTTGCAAAGCTGAGACCTGCCAGTGTCATGGATTGTTCTCAATCATCGTCTGGGAAGACCAGGTTATGTCAATCTCAAAGGTTTTAAATGCCCAGACTCATCTGACCTTGCCCCAACAATCAGCACCATGGGTTCTTCTAAGCAGTTGTCTAGAAAACTGAAACTGAAAATAGTTGACGCTCACAAAGCTGGAGAAGGCTATAAGAAGATAGCAAAGCGTTTTCAGATGTCAATATCCTCTGTTCGGAATGTAATTAAGAAATGAGAGTCATCAGGAACAGTGGAAGTTAAAGCAAGATCTGGAAGACCAAGAAAAAATATCAGACAGAACAGCTCGCAGGATTGTGAGAAAAACAATTCAAAACCCACGTTTGACTGCACGATCCCTCCAGAAAGATCTGGCAGACACTGGAGTTGTGGTCACTATTCCACTATAAAGAGATACTTGTACAAATATGGTCTTCATGGAAGAGTCATCAGAAGAAAACCTCTTCTACGTCCTCACCACAAAAATCATTGTTTGAACTTTGCAAATGAACATATAGACAAGCCTGATGCATTTTGGAAACAAGTTCTGTGGACCGATGAGGTTAAAATTGAACTTTTTGGCCGGAATGAGCAAAGGTACGTTTGGAGAAGAAGGGGCACAGAATTGAATGAAAAGAACCTCTGTCCAACTGTTAAGCATGGGGTTGGATCAATCATGCTTTGGGGTTGTGTTGCAGCCAGTGGCACAGGGAACATCTCACGAGTAGAAGGAAAAATGGATTCAATAAAATTTCAGCAAATTTTGGATGGTAACTTGATGCCATCTGTGAAAAAGCTGAAGTTAAAGAGAGGATGGCTTCTACAAATGGATAATGATCCTAAACACACCTCGAAATCCACGGGGGATTACATCAAGAGGCGTAAACTGAAGGTTTTGCCATGGCCTTCACAATCTCCTGACCTCAACATAATTGAAAATCTATGGATAGACCTTAAAAGAGCAGTGCGTGACAGACAGCCCAGAAATCTCAAAGAACTGGAAGACTTTTGTATGGAAGAATGGGCAAAGATACCTCAAACAAGAATTGAAAGACTTTTGGCTGGCTACAAAAAGCGTTTACAAGCTGTGATACTTGGCAAAGGGGGCAGTACAAGATATTAACTCTGCAGGGTGCCCAAACTTTTGCAGGCGCCATTTTTTTTGTTTTCTGTTATTTTGAAAGTGTAAATGATGGAAATAAAATCTAACTTTTGTTGACATATTATAAGAATGTCTAATCTGTAATTTGATGCCTTTTGGAGATTTTTCCATCTTTCCTTGGCTTCTTTATGCACATTAATACAAATTTTTAGCTGGGGTGCCCAAACTTTGGATCCCCACTGTATATATATGTGTGTGTGTGTGTGTGTATAATATATATATGTGTGTATATGTGTGTGTGTGTGTGTGTATATATGTATATATATATATATATATGTGTGTATATATATATATATATATATATATGTGTGTGTATATATATATATATATATATGTGTGTATATATATATATATATATTATATATATTATATGTGTGTGTATATATATATATATATATATATATATATATATATATATATATATATATATATATATGTATA